CACATTCATCTATTCATGCATGCATTCATTCAAGAAATATTTTCCCCTCTAGCCAGTGCTTCTCAGTGGTTAGAGTGCTGAGCCACGCACCAAAGGGTCACAGGTTCAATTTCCAGTCAAGGACATGTGCCTGCCTGGGTTGCAAGTTTGATCTCTGGCCCTGGTCAGGGCATATGCAGGAGGCAACCAATCAATGTCTCTCTCTCACATCAATGTTTCTCTCTCTCCCCCTCCCTCCCATCACCTTCTACTCTCTCTAAAAATCAATAGAAAAAATATCCTCTGGTGAGGATAAGCAAAAAAACAAAACAAGGAAGTATTTATTGGATGACTCCTAAAGGGAGGCCAATGTATTAGGTGCTGGAGACACGGAAATGAACAAAACAGACCCAGGCCCTGCACACATAAAGTTTATGTTCTGATGGGGCAGATAAGCATTAAAAAAATACTAACCACTAAATATGTAATTGCAAAGCATAATAAGGACAGAAAAGTTAAGAAAAGATATAATGCAATAAATTGATTTAGATTTAGTTTCATTTAAATTACCCAGGGGCATGGGTCAAAAGGTCAAAGAGATCAGCAGGTGACTATTAGGTTTAGATTGATGAACAGGTATGGATGTGGAAAGAAGTCCCTGATATGGTATTAAGTAAAAAATCAATGTGTCCTACATTTGTCTGAAGTGCAATAAGAGGCAGAATGACCATGCATGCGAGGAATCAGAAGAGTGGTCACCTCTTGTTAGGTGATAGGAAGGGTACAAAGGAACCTTCTAGATACTGGCCATGTTTATAACTCTTGATCTGGATGGTGTTCCATGGATATAGTTAATGTAAAAACTCATCAAGCTTTATATATAAAATTTATGTACTTTATTATATTAATTTGTGTATGTTTTTGGAACAGATTTTAAGAATTAGTATGCTTTTTAAAATATATTTTTATTGACTTCAGAGAGTAAGGAAGAGAGACAGAGAGATGGAAACATCAATAATGAGAGAGAATCATTGATCGGCTGCCTCCCGCATGCCCCTACTGAGGATCAAGCCCATAACCTGAGCATGTGCCTTGAAAGGGAATCAAACCATGACCTCCTGATTCACAGTTCGACGTTCAACCACTGAGCCACACAGGCTAGCCTAAAATTAGTATGTTTATATGTACATGTATATATGTGTTATCTTCATAGAAAATAATCTGGGGGAAAAGGTGTTAACTAAGGTGCTAACAGTGACCATACCTATATTGTGATAGAATTTTTTTCTTTGTTTTGCTTATCTGTATTTTAAGATGTTTCTACATATAACCTTTTATAATAAAAAGTCTACATATAAACTTTTATAGTAAGAAAAAAAATGAGTTAAAAGTCACTTTACATTTGATACATTGAATACTTATAGGTTCTGAAAAGTCTTCAAAATCAGAATGAAATTCATTCTTCCTTGTGCTAAGATCGTCTGTCTTCCTAAGGCTTTCATCTTGATTTCCTCATCAGACTAATTTAAACAAAAAGGCCAGATTCTGCTGGTGATTAGAAATTAGAAACATCTCTAAGTTTTCCTATTGGAGTCCACTGATCCTCCAAATTATTTCTATGTCTCTTGTATCTTGGTGATCCAAGTCCGGCCCTTTATGGAAAAAGATGATCTAGCAGGAAAATTTTGTAAACAAATCATGAAAGAACTCCATGCCTTGTACCTCACACCATCTGGGGCTCTAAGCTGATGTCCACTGAGAGCTTTCACCATCTGAAAACAGAACACTGACCATGAGACTTTTTGTCTTTCAGGATGATATCATCACTGTGATCAGCCGAGTGGATGAGAACTGGGCAGAAGGGAAGTTAGGAGACAAAATCGGCATCTTCCCAATCTTGTTTGTTGAGGTATGTGAGCATGAAGTCTACATCTGATTAAGCTTACCAGAAAGATGCATGTCACACAGTGATTCCTGAGAGCAATTTCCATTTGATCTGAGGCTTATTCAGAACTAACTGAAGTCTCTAGGAAAAGATGCCAGATGATAAGATCCAGTTCTGGCAAGAGTATGGGGCAATGGACCATTTTATTCTGCTGATAGGAATGTAAATTGGTGTCATCTCTCATATTTAAACTCTAACTCATATCAAGAATGTTAAAAATGTACATCTCCTTTGAATCAGCAATTTCACATCAGAGAGTTTATGATAAGGTGATATTAAAATAAGTATGCAGAGATATGTGTATAAAATGTGCACATGTGTTCACCATAGTATTGTGTATAATAGTAAAAAAAAACAGAAATAATCTAAAAACATAATAATCTAAAAAGAAACAATTAGAATTTTGTTTTTAAAAATAATGGTGATGAAAATATACTTATTAAAAATAATATTAGAGAAGCATATTCAGTATCATGGCGTATTTGGAATTATGGGAAAATGTTTATGATTTATTGTCAAGTAAAATAAAGTTTAATGGGATAGAGTTCTGGAGATCAATTTCACAACCATTACTTACACTACTGTACTGTACACTTAGAAATGGTTCATATGATAAATTTGATGTGATATGTTTCCTGCCAATAAAAAGAAACAAATTGAACTATATAAAACTAGCTTTACAAATATATGTGTATATACTAATGGATAAAGAACTAAAAGGAAATGTACCAAAATATCACCAAATGGTGAGACTCTAAGATTTCAATTTTTTTCTGCTGGCTTGTATTTTGTAAATCTTCTGAAATGAGCACATATTTCTTCTTTGTTTTTTTAAAGAGGAAAGAACACATGCTAGGATATTTACCTAATGTAACTTGGGAGTCTCTAACCTCTGTAACCTTCAGCCCTACCTGAGCTTGAAGCAGGTCATTGCAAATTTAAAGGAGAAGATTCAGCATTTATTAGTGCTTACCAGGCATAAAGCAGTCCAAGTGCCCTGGCAGGTATTGCTTAGTGGTTAGAATGTTGGCCCAGGTTTGGTCCCTGACCCCAATCGGGGTGAGTGTGGGAGGCAACCAATCGATGTGTCTCTCTCACATCAATGTTTCTCTCTCTCTCTCTCTCTCTCTCTCTCTCTCTTTCCCCCTCCCCTTCCTCCCTTCTCTCTTCTGCTCTTCTAAAAGATCAATGGAAAAAAAGATCCTCGGGTGAGGATTAACCAAAAATAAAATAAAACAATAAAATAAAATAAAGCAGTAAAAGTCAGTAGTGGGGAGCTATGAAAGAAGTAAAAGGCATGCTCCCTGACCTCTAGGAGAGTGGGGTAAAGACAGTACAGAGGCATAACTGGAGAGAAGGAACCAATTCTTTCATTCATAAGAGTCAAAGGGGTTCTGAAGTAAATGGAGTGTCCAGAATCCTGCACAGGTCTCAGGGTTCTCTGTAACCCCTCTACTGTATCAGTGTGGAAGGGATGAAAAGTGGAAAGGAGGGATGGAAGAAGGGTACATACAGAGAGGCTGGTCTTCTATCTCTAATAAATTCTCATCCCCAGTGCTTTTTCTCCTGCTGAGGCCCCTACCAGGTACACCCAACCCACCCAATTCTCTCTACTTGTTCCAATTTCACTCATTTTACAAGACTCAGCTAGAAACCCGCTTTCTCCATAAAATTTCAGCAACTAGTTGAACACTCATTTATCTCTTCTCCGAATACCTGATGGGTATATTGCTTGTACTTCACAAGCCAGCCTAACACAGAACAAGTACTCCATTAAAAAAATTGCATAACAAGTGAGTGAACGGGGAAGTATTCAGGAGGTTGTCAGAGTAACCTGGAAAAAAACTAGAGAACAAACCTTTCAGGGTGACTGCATCCTAATATTCAGTCATTCAACTAATTTTTCACTGAGTGCCTACTATATCGTCCTGTGCGAAGTTCTAAAGATACAAGACAGACATGGGTCCCTACTTTCAGAACGTAAAGTGAGACATTAATCAAGCAGTTATAAGTGTGATGAATGACACAAAGAGTAATGTAGAGGGAACTTTGTGGGGAGGGAGAATATGATGTGCAACTTACCTGGGTTGGGTTCAGCAAATGCCTCCTAAGCCAAGATCTGACAGATGAAAGGGAGTTATGTAGGTAAGCATGGAGGGAAGAGGGTTCTAGGGAATGGAAGTAACATGTGCAAAAGTCCTGCAGGATGAGGAAGTGTGTTATATCCAATGGACTGAAAGAATACTGGAGCTGGAGCTCAGAGAGTGTCCAAAAAATGAAGCCAGGGAAATAAATGGAAGACAGGTTCAAAGAGCTTTGTAAACCATTAATGACGATGGGCTATGATAATAAACAGCTCCAAAATTTCAGCGGCTTAACAAAGAAAAAGTTCTTTCTCACCCACATTATATGCTCTGCTCACATGAGTCACGCAGGAACCCAGACTAATAAGGCTGGGCCGTCTTGTAATGGCACCATCTGGAACACATGGACTCCCTAGTTTTTGTGGCAGCGGAAGATCGAGGAAGAGTGAGTTATATATCAGCAGTGCCCCAGCTTTAGAAGTGACCCTTGTCACTCCCACTCATAGCCCACGGTCCTGAACCAGTCACATAGCCCTGCCTGTCTTCAAGCCAGCTCCAAGTATAAGGGAGCACATAGAATATTTGATGAGTACTGTTGTCTCTGCCATATCATTAAAGTCTGGCCTTAATCCAGAAGTCAAGAGAAGCTATTGAAAAATTTTAAGTGAGGCAATGATTCTACAAGTCTTGGGTTTCTTAATTACTGCTCTGGCCTAGCCAGTGTGGCTCAGTGGTTGAACATCAACCTATGAACCAGGAGGTCATGGTTTGATTCCTGGTCAGGGCACATACCTGGGTTGTAGGCTTGATCCCCACTGGGGGTCATGCGGGAGGCAGCCAGTCAATGATTCTCTCTAATCATTGATGTTTCTTTCTCTTCCTCTCCTTTCCTCTCTGAAATCAATATATATTTTAAGACTGCTTTGGCTGCAGTGTAAGAATCATTTAAAGAGGGTGGGAGAGGGGAAACAGAAAGAGCAGTTAGGAGCTACCGCATGGCTCAATTAGAAGGTGACTATGGCTCTGACCAATAGATTGGAACAAGTGGTAGATTCAAGGACTTTTTTGAAGGTAGATCCACCAGACTAGGAGGTTGACAGAGGTAGGGAGTAGGGAGAGGAAGTGGTTAAGGATCATGCCCCCCTTTCTGATTTGTGTGCTTAGGTTGGTGGTGGAGCCACTTGCTTGGTCAAGCAGTGTTTGCTGAAGAGGAACAATCATGTTGATTGGGAGACAGTGGTTAAGATTCTAAGGACAGAGATGAGCTACAACTAACGTCTCGCTGTACACACAGGCAGGCTGAAATCTTTGCAGATGAGAGCGCACATCGTCCCCTGCATTATCTCAAGAAGCTTCTTCATAGCTGGGGCATGTGGGAGAGGCAGCAATGATCAGATATTACCCACTTCTGATACCCTTCCCCCGCCCCCCAAAAAAACTTCTACATTTAATGATTATTCATTTGGATACTCTCCCCCCACTTCACCTCTGAAATTGGTGATTATAAGAATCCTCAAGATTGTCATCAAGCTAGCCATTGCTTCCTTTGTTCTCCTAATTGCTAGGAGGGGAATAAGATAATCAAGTGGCTGCTCTACTCTGGGAACCTGGTTTTCAAAAATGGCTTGAAACCTACATTGAGCTTTCTAAAGCAGCCCTTAGATTCTGACTTCCGTCGTTTCATTAAGACTAGCACTTGCTGAGGACTCTTTAAATAAGCTCTGCATTTCCAGTGCCATGGAAAGCAGTTGGAAGGAAGGAAAGCTTTCTTATGAGAGTGATATGGGATGTGTGTGTTTTGTTCTTGTTTTTTGCATAAACAGGATTTTTCATGTTAATGTAGCAGTGGATTTATTGAATTGCACCTGGATAAAAAGGTGGCAAAACAAACACTGAGCTCACACCCATTCTTGTCAGCACTTCTCCAACAGGGCCTGCCTGGGTTATGTGAATCTTGCTCAGCTCAATGAACCTCAAGGATGTTGTTTCAAATGAGTGGATGCAAATTTAGGAGATGTGCAATCCTTCCCCAACTGAGCCATTAGTCACATTGGCAGAGAATAAGGCAAACCAAGAGTCACAGAGGCCCTTTCTCAGTGTCGCTGTTGGTGTTGCTCACCTGGGGACAGAACAATTAGGTGGAAGCAGGAAAACATTAACTGCATTGTAGCTGTTAATGACCCTGAAGAAGTTTACTCATTCAACTCAAGAGTGTATATTGTCCTCTTTCTGGATGAACAATGGAGGGATAGGTGCTCTGAGGACTGGAAGGGCATTGTCCCTAATCCAGAAGACTGTCAGAACTTGCCTAAACAGTTTCAGTAAATTCCTAAATGGTCTCCCTCCTTCTAATCTGGAATAATACCTTTTTATGTATTTATTTTTATTTGCGTACAATAAAATTTACTCTTTTTGGTGTCCAATTCTACATGTTTAGGTAAATGTATTCAGAATAACCACACCATCATCAAGATGTAGATAGTTCCAACGCTCCCCAAAATACGAGGTGATGCTGCCCCTTTGTAGTCAGCTCCTTCCCTGATTCCCACCCTCTAGCAAACACTGATCTGTTTTCTGTTCCTATAGTTTTCCTTTTTCCAGAACGTCATGGAAATGGAATCAAACAGAATGTGGCCTTTTGAGTCCGGCTTCTTTCACTTAGCACAATGCATTTGAGATTCATCCATGGTGTTGCATGTAGCAAGTAGTTCATCCCTTTTCATTATTGAATCATATTCCATTGTACAGATGTGCCAGAGTTTGTTTATTTATCCACCAGTTGAAAGGCATTGTAGCTGTTTCCCTTCCTTTGTTGGCAACTGTGATTAAATCTGCTATAAACATTTGCATATCATTTTTAGAGTGAGCATAAGTTTTCATTTCTCTCAGGTAATTATCTAGGAGTGGGATTGCTGGGTTGGATGCTAAGTGTGTTTAACTTTGTAAGAAACTCTCAAAGTATAGCAGGAACTTCCAAAAGCATAAATCAGATCATGTCACTCCTTTACCTAAATTATTTCAAAAGCTTCCTTACATGAAGCTTCCCAGGCCCTCTGAGATCCAGCCCCTGCCTGTCTCTGTGGTCTCCTCCACCAGCTGCTTCTCACTTGCTCTGTTCCAGCCCTCTCTCTTTCTTCCTTGTCTTACTCTCAAACAGGCTGAACTTGCCACCACCCTCCCACCACACCTCCCTCTTCCACCTCCCTCCCCCGCCCCCCTGCCACCTCTTTAAGACTTTTCCACTAATTTATAATCCCTCTGCCTGGCCTGTTCCTACCCAGACTTCACGTGGCTGGTTCATTCTTGCCATCTGTGTCTCAGCTTAAATGTCCCCTTCTCAGCAGGTTTTCCTGGATCCACCAATCTAAAGGAGCCACCTCCCCCAGTACTATCACAGCAGAACATTATTACTATCAGACAGTTTCTCATTTGCTTGTTTCATGCTGGCTTTGCCATTTATAAGTCACCCCTTCTGGGCCTCAGCTTTCTTATCTTTAAAGTGGACAACATAATGCTTCCTCCCCTACTTGATTATTTTTTTCACAATATTACAAGCTTCTTGAGACATAAACTACATCTGCCTTAAACTTTTCTCTCTTGATTATTTTAATCACCTGCACATTGTCACTGAGAAGTTCTTAAGTGGGCATATTCCCTTTTACTTAGTTGAATTTCTAAATTATAATGAGACAGACTAGATGTAGTTTCAGAGGGCAACTGGTGACAGTCGTAATGATGCATATTTAAGTACTTGTTCTGGAAAGTTTTATTCACACAGACCCCTGTTTTGTCAGCATATTTCAGGTTTCTGGAGGAAATGAATTCATGTGGGCCCTTGGTGGGCAGGGTATTCAAAATATAATGCAGTCAGTGGTTGTGCTAGAACTAGTTGGTACTAGACTGTAAGAGCTGGTTATTATATTTTCAGGAATTTTGCTAGCCAGTTGTTGAACCATTGGTAGATATTTACACCACAGAAATTGGTAGACTCTACAAATCAGGAATGGCGAGTGAGGTGGTGGCATCTGAACTGGCTTCAGACTCACCTGGGTAAGACTTAGTTGGCCGTATTAGACCAGGAAGACTAACTTCTCACCAAACCTTTTGTCTTCTCAGCCAAACCTCACTGCGAGACACCTGCTGGAGAAGAACAAAGGCCACCACCCAACTCGCACAAAAAGCCTGTCCCTGGTGTCCTCCTCCAGAGGCAAAGCCACCAACACGCCCAGCCTCCGAAGGGGCCCTGGGTCCAGGAGGAAGGGGCCCGGGCAGCTCTCCATCACGACAGCCTTGAACACCCTCAACAGGATGGTCCATTCTCCCTCAGGGCGCCATATGGTGGAGATCAGCACCCCAGTGCTTATCAGCTCTAGCAACCCCTCTGTGATCAGCCAGCACGTGGAGAAAGCAGATGTTCTTCCCAGTTCTTTGGAACAGGTAGGAAACAGACCCCGGGATAAGGGCAACCTTGGAGTTGGTCAAGTGATCCACACCATGTCACAAGCAAAATTGGATGTTTAGTACCTGCTAAGCACTCATAATGCATAATAACGAGTGTATTGTGTGTCAGAGTTGTGACCTCATCTCGACCTTGAAACAGCCTGTGAATTAGGCATGATTAGTGTTATCCCCACTTTACAGGTGAGAAGACCGAGGCTTAGAGGAGTTTAACGATTTGTCAAATTCTCACAGATGCTTTGCTTTCCCATGCTAAGAGCCTTGACATGGTCCCTTTCCCCTAGAGAACTTCCCTTCAAGGAGATAATGGCACCCATTTTTCAGAGGGGGTCCTGGCATCACAATTTGAAATTTACTGGTCCGTCCTCCAGCAAGATACTGGGCATCATGTGGAAAAGAAGAAAAAGAATTTATGAGTTATTGGGTGTTTGGAGGGCTGGCTACATAATTTGCAGGGCCCAGTGAAAAATGCTAATGCAGCTCCCTTGCTCAGAAGTGATTAAGAATTTCAAGATGGCAACAGCAGAGTATGAAACAAGTGGAGAGCCCTTCTGAGCACTGAGCCTTCTGTGACTACACATGTTCCACACCCCTGAAGACAGGCCTGGGTGTTTTCATATGGAGCATCTAATGCGATACTGTATGTAAAGTGCTTAGCACAATGTCGGGCACATACTAAGCACCCAATAAGCACTAGCTCTTAATACTGTTCTTAATAAGCCTGGTCACTGAGTTGCCAGCTGAAGGGAAAGAAACCAGGGCGACTGTGGCACTCCAGAGCAGAAGTACTTCTAACAGCGTGTGGCTCTTTGGGCTGAAGGGTACTTTAGCACATGAAGGACTGGAGGTATGAGGCAACATAATTAAGAACTGCATGTTGGCTATTCTGCTGAAAACACTCTTTGGAATTATGCAGGTGGCAACTTGAGAGGACAAACCTCAACTTGCATGATGCATTTTTTTAAAGCTGTAAATCTTGTTTTTCAACATGAATCTCTACCTTGGGATTAAATGGCTTAATTGGACTCTAATCCCTTTTTAACAAGACAGGGAGGAGGAGAAAGTCAAGGACTCCTGAAAGACCTGTGTACTGGTCTAAAAGGAAAACAATCACCTTTTATAACACTTCACATTTTACACCACTGTCTGGATTGCCAAGAGGCTGGCTGTCCCTGTACCTTTGTCCACCACCTGCTGCGTGCACACACACACGCACACACACACAAACACACACACAAACACACACACTTCTCTCCATATACACTCTCCTCCAACTTAAAAAATCACACTTATAAGGCTGCCATTCTACACACACATTCCACACACGTTGTTACAAGTACGTACACACTTTGTGCCCAAAGTTCTTCTCCCTCCAATACACACACACACACAAATGGGGACCTACTGACTCACAAGCCAAAGAGTGACAAATTTTTCTGAAACTATTCTTTATATAGAGACAGATATATAAAGTACAGCCCACAGTCAGTGGATTAAGCTAGCTGATTCAGCTGTAAATTGGCTTCTCAGAAGATTTAGGCAAATCACTTTCCATGTGTCATTTTAATTCTTCTTCCTGCTCATTTACCTCATCTACAGAGAGGCTGGGCAGGAGTGGAGAATCCTAATGGAATTCAAAACAAGTATTTCTTCCTAGTTTTCACAAACAGTGAGAATTCCAAAGTGTGGCATATGCATATACTATTCCCAGGGAACCACTGCACGGTATTAATAGTCGGGGGGAGGGAGGTTCGATTCAGAAGGCTGTGGATTATAATTATTTCTACACTAGGGGCCCGGTGCACAAAATTCGTGCATTTATTCTCTACTAGAGGCCCTGTGCATGAAATTCATGCAGAGGAGGGGGGGGGCTCCCCTCAGCCTGGCCTGCACTCTCTTCAATCTGGGATCCCTCAGGACTGCTGGCTCCTAACCACTCACTTGCCTGCCAGCCTGATCCCTCTAACTGCTCTCCCCTGCTGGCCTGATTGCCTCTAACCACCTCTGCCTCAGCTCTGCCACCATGGCTTTGTCCGGAAAGACATCTGGAAGGTTGTCTGGAAGATGTTAAGTCTAATTAGCATATTACCTTTTTATTC